GCATGATTGGTTCAACGGCACAAACACATCATACATGTGGGGACTTCCGGTGAGGCAAAATGGTGGGCGCCACAGCAGCGAGCAGCTCATGAAGCCAGCCAGAGCCAACTGTGCTACCAGGCTGGTTCTGGGCTGCTGAGGCTGGCACTGCCACTGCCGAGGGGGAACTGCTGGACCCCCTCCCCCACAACCCAAATTGAGCCGGAAGCGAGAGCGACCGGCCACCCAGCCGACTGCCCAGTGGTGCTCCGGGGCCAGGAAAACCCCAGAGCCAACACAGAGAGAAGGAGGAGAGGAGAAGGAAGAGAGAGAAAGAGGAAGGAGAAAAAAGAGGGCAAGGACACGTGGCTGAGCCCAGGTACAACCCAAGCCTACTCCATGGTGGCTAGCGCTCCAAGAGAGCAGGCCGGGGCCCAGAGGAAGGATATTACTTCTTAAGTTTTTTATTTAAAAAAACAACTTTTTTTTAAAAAAACAACTTTTTAAAAAAAAACAACCTTTTTTCTCTTTTCAAAAAAAAAAGTGTCCCTGGATTCTTTGAAAAAAATCTGGCAACCTTATGTTAAATGTCTAAATTTGGTGTGGGGGGTGGAATCCACTGAGGGCTACATTCCTTGAGCATACTCTGTTGGGGTCACATCCTGGCAGTGAGCAGAGACAAGTCAATTGTGGGGACCTGTCACCCCCTTTCCCCTCTCTGACACCCCTCCTCTCTCTCTCTCCCACCCCACTGGAGAGGGGCGGGTGTCTATTTCCAGAGGGCTTCCCCCCCCCCATCCTGCACATTCACACACATTCTTCCATCACTGTTTGGGCTCCCCCCCCCCATTCCCCCTACTTCTGTCCTCTGGGCTCCCCACCTGAATGGAATCAGGCCAAGATCTAAATGTTGCTCATTCCTGGTCTGAAGTAGGGAGATTAAATATTGGTTAATAAAATTTTAGTCTACAAAGATATCCTTAACAATTTTAGTGATGGTTTTCGGAGATCTGATGCATCCAATGTGCAAAAACATAGCAAAACTGTGTTTGGTGTATGTCAATGTGCAATTTAAGCAAATGATGGCATATTTAAAATAAAATAAAAATCATAAAAATATCTTATATTTACATAAAAGGTAGTAGAGACAGAAGTTAAAAGTAAGCATTGTGCATCGATGAAAAATGAATAAACTGAGGAAGAAATAGAACACTATTGGCATTCACTATTGCTGCCTGCTATCCAGAATGCCAACAGGACTGGTGCCCAGTTTCTGACTAAAAACAAAAAACAATAATCTCTCCAAAGATCAGAAGGCTGAGAAAATGAGAAATCTTGCAGGTTCACACCAAATGAGTGAGTGGAAGAAATTCATGCAAAAGCAAGCATTTCAGTATTTGAGGGGACTGGATATCTCCTTTATAAAGTGTCATGATACATATTGCTATATGGACACACACACATAGCAACTTTGGTAAGAAAAATAATAATTGACTAATCACCAGATGAATCTGTCAATTAATAAATTACAGATTTCTAATTATTTTTTAAGGCATACTGTCGTGTTTTTCCAGAACAGAGCTGAGCCAGTCTTAAGCAGCAGAGCCTGCTACTTTGAGGGTTTAAAAAATTATTATTTGCAGGACCTACTGGCAATGCCAAACACTAAGGAGGGAATCTGGCCAACTGCCAGAAGAACTTGGCATTTCTCGGGCGAGGGGGGAAACAAATGGGAGCCTCCTGTTCTTGAGGATTTGAAGATACTGTAGACTCCCTGTAGAGAACTGAGCTGCACTGCAGATGTGGCAGACACAAAACCACATGGCCGGGTACAGGAGTTGGTGGGGCGCCTGAACTCTGCATGCTGGATGATATGCTTTGTGAAATGGGACTTCGCCTGCCCCCCCCACTCCACCCAAAACTGGTTCTGGATTTTCTCCCAACCCTGAGGAGCAGATGTAGGAATGACAAGGCGAGTGGGGAGTTCTATTGCACAAGTGGAAGTCATTCCACTTGTACAATTATTTGGTTGAATACAGCCCATAGTCTGCACTATGACAAATGTCTCGTCTCAATTTTATTTGGTGTGGGTACAAATCGGTGACATCCCTACATTCTGACTCCAGAAGAAGCCCAACTGACTCAGCTAAGAAACAAAACACCTCAAAACAGTCGAGGGACTGTTCTTCAGTAATTGCAGGGGTCTATTTTTTTTAAAGAGAGATCTCTACTGAATATCAAGAAAAAAACACATAGAAAACAAACAGAACAAGAATGCAGCCCCCAAAATAAAAGAAAAAAGGGCAGCCCCCTCCCTCCTCTAGCTTGGGTGCAAGTGTAAAAGAACAATAATGAGGAAACAAAATAACATAGTTGGGGAGTGGATGACCAGAAGCAGCCTGAAAATGATTATTCAAGATACTATGGTTTGAAACTATCAAGATTTCATATGTCTGCATAGTATGAAGACCTGCACTCTTCTTTCTAGTAGTGTTAACACAGAATCACCGAATCAGTCATAACACGCTGATACAGAGGGGTCTTTTTTAAAAAGTTGAGGTGTCTATTTTTAATAGAACCACAGAACTTGAACTGATCCATTGGTTTGAGGCTGCATGTATGTTATGACGCAAGAAGCAGCTACATATGTGCTAATATTCTTGTATCTCATATGTGCTGATATTCTTGTAAAGAAGCTGGTAAAATGCGGTCTTGACTATGCTACCACTCAGTGGGTTTGTAACTGGCTGACTG